ACGGACCTGAGAAAACTTTGCTGAGTCCACACAAAACAACGAAGAAATATCGGGAAAGCTACGCTAAAAGTTTTAGATATCGCCTTTCTCTTGTGGGGCTTCGTAAGGAGGAAATCCGTTCTAATCTTTTCTACTTCAAACGCTTGCATTGTCGTTATGCCTGTATCCTGGGTTATTGTAGGGGATGCAGTCTAAGTGATAGATTGTATGTCATACTCCTTTTCTGCATTAAACGGTTGTGCTGTATGCTATGTGCTGTATTTTGGGTTATTGTAGGAGATCAGTCTAAATCATAGATTGATTATTTCTGTATTAAACGGTTGAGTTGTATGTATGTGCTGTATCCTGGGTTAGTAGGGAATGCAGTCTAAGTCATAGATTGATATTTCACATTCCTTTCTGCATTAAACGGTTGTGTTGTATGTTATGTGCTGTATCCTGGGTTATTGTAGGGGTAGTAGTCTTAAATCATGGATTGTATTTTATACTTCTCTCTTACATTAAGCGGTTGTTGTATGACATGTACAAGTATCCTAGGTTATTGTAGGGATGTAAGTCTAAATCATTCATGTATGTATATACCTTCTTTACTCCACATAGTTGTGCTGTTTTGCTAGGCAGTATCCTAAGGTACGCATTGGTTGTTTAGCCTGAGAATCGATGTGTTATATATGATTTGGATTGTAAAAGTTCAGATAGTCGTTAGAGAGCACTGTAAATGATTGAATATATTCAGTAGTCTGTCAGGTTTTAGATATTTAATATGCAATTTATCTGTGGGAAGCTGAGTGTTGTTTTTCTGCAACATGGGCATCATGCACTGAAAAATATGTATTTCAAAGGCTTTGTAACACCTCCAACGGATGCCATTGCAGTCACCGTTAATTGTTTGGTCGGAGAGCATTTATATCCATGTCATTATTGACCGTATTGTCCTGATCACTTTCATCAAATTGAACATTAATTCATTGTTATCATTATTAATGTAGATTATCTATTCGGTATAAATCATTATCATTATCATTAGTTGTTATTTTGTATTATTGTTAGTCGTGATTTATTATTATTATCCATTATATTATTTTATCAATATTGTTATCTATCAGGTTGTTTATATCATAATATGGATGATGTTATGTGATTCATTATTATATTATTATTCATTATCATGTATTATTATTAAATTTTCATTCCGAGAGAGAAGATGAATGAAGACGGAGGGGGGGCAGTCGATGGCCGGTACTGGGGTCGAAGTAATAGTGTCAGACCCAGTAGTTCGAAGAAGAGGTGGTGAGATGTAAGACTGTAATAGGGAACTAGATGACGGAGATGGAGAAGAGAGAGAGCACGGCGGAGAGAGTGGGGAAGTGCTGGAGAAGGAGAGAGAGATCGGAGGAGATTGAGGGGAAAGAGGATAGATGAGACGGGAGAGAGAGGAGAAGAGAGAGGGAGAGAGAGAGAGAGAGAGAGAGAGAGGGAAAGGGAGAGAGAGAGAGACAGAGACAGAGATAGAGAAAGAGAGAGATAGGAGATAGATAGAGAGAGAGAGAGAGAGAAGAGAGAGAGAGAGAGAGAGAGAGAGAGAGAGAGAGAGAGAGAGAGAGAGAGAGAGAGAGAGAGAGAGAGAGAGAGAGAGAGAGAAAGAGAGAGAGATAATATAGATATAGATTACATCCACACATTGCTGACATAAACACCAAAAGAACTGCACGATAAATAAGTGGCTGTGTAATACATCCATTCCCTCATTGTTTTGGATCCACAACACTCCGACAAGGCAAATTCAGGATCCCTTAACTATTAGGTTGTAGCGATTTCTCTCGTATATTTGGTGTAGTGAAAATCGCTTTTTATTTCCCTGATGCGAGGTGCTGCTCTGTGTCTCAACCAGGAAGTGATCTGTATAGGGAGATATGGAGTCTGAGAGATCTTGAACCATGTTTATCTTTATAGCTAGCAACCAATCTTACCAAAGGTTCAATGGAATGGATAAACCGATATATCCCGGAGGTTTAGATACGTTCGAACTGTTTCCTCATAACACTTAGTAAGGATTTTATCTAGGCCTAAGGTTCTCGATAAGATGTTCGTGGACGTTGCCATAAAAAGAGGAAGAAACCAAATCAAATCAAGCAATTGTTGTACAGGCTGGGAATTTTCTTCTTTTTATACATACGTAGTACATTACATTATATATACATACTACATATATATATATATATATATATATATATATTACATATATATACTATATATACATATATAGTATATTTATATATATGTTTTTAAATGTATGTATTCATATACTACCATACATATAAATCTCTGTGGTCTTTCTTTTGTCTTCTTTCCTCTCTTCTCTCTCATCCTCTCTCTCTCTCCTCCTATCTCTCTCTTCTCTCTCCTCTCCTCTCTCTCTCTCTAATATTATAATTATATATATATATATAGGGTATATATATATAAATCTCTATATATATATATATATCTATATCATATA